CTTCCCATTCAAAATAACCATAAGAATGATTATGTCGAACACAAAAAAAATAGAAATTGACCCAAAGATCTTTATTAGTAGACTATAATGTTGAGCAAACTGATAATAATTTAGAGCTTTTGTTAGAGAATCACTAACCTTAGGCTTTGGAAATTTATAAAATCACCTTCCAGGGTTTAATGGAGTCGTTAAAGGTTGGGAAAATAGGATTGGGGGTCGTGTGAGGCCTAATTCTTTGTCAATGGAGAATGTAAGGGGGTCTGTGGGGTTTTAATTTGGTGGGGTCTAGTGACTTGGCAACTGACATGGAAAAAATTGAGGGGGTAAGCTTCCATGGTGTAGATCTGTTAGGGTTAGTGGAAATTTCTAAAAGTTAATTAAATGTAGGGGCTATATTGGACGAAAAGTATAACGGGTAGCAGAAGTAAACAATATACCATAGTAGAGGGTCAATTTTGGACCTTTTCCCTTTGAAATATATTGAATATGAATTGTGCCCTCCTCTTCTTAGTTCCTTAATTCCTTTAATTTCTGTTTGTTATTCTCACGTTACATCAGTTTCAGCTCTGTGGAGGATTCATAATGTCTGGTGAAATCAAAGACGTGTTAAATCGACTGGATCGAGTGGCAATTGAGGTGGCCAACGTCAAGCTCCGACAGAACTAGTTGGAATCTGCGAATGAAAATGCTTTTCGGGAACTGAAAGAAACACTTTCGGCGGGTTACAACTCCGGTAAGGGCAAGGAAGCGAGTTCAACAGTGGTGAATCAAGCTGATCTGTACTCACCCACAGACGGGCCACGCGATTTGGTATGCCTCGATGATCCAATTTCTTTTCCCCCACTAAGTCCTAACCCTAATATAAATAGAACTATGGGTTTTCAGTTAACTTGTGCGCAAAATCCAGTTACTAGCCAAAACTTTAGTTCCCCAAACTCCACAATTCCAAATACATCCCAAATTCCATTTACCCAGCTCTAGAATGTGTCATCCACTTCCATTTCCCCTTTGGCGACCATTCGAAATATCAATTCCAGTCAACAATTTAGCACTGTATCATCACCTACCCTGGCTACTGGCTCACACCCTATTACTGCAGCCCACTCTCTATCTGTCCCATATAAGGGGTTAACTGCTCCTATAACTTCTCAAAACCAATTGAACCTAGCACCAATTTCTCAGTATCACACTCATATGACATGAAATAATGGCCAGATTTCCTACTCAATTCTATGCTCACTGACCAATCCTACTCACACCCCTATATTTCAGAACTCCATTCCCCCAAATATGGATCCAATTCCCCCATTTTCACCCGTCTATCTACCTTATCACTTCAATGGACAACCATATATTCAACAACCATGTTCACTTTTGAGGCAGTATAGGATTAGTTTCCCTAGGTTTAATGGGAAGGGGTTTCAAGATTGGTGGTACCAGGTGGAGTAGTTCTTTGCAATGGATGAGGTTCCTCACCACGAGAAGGTTAGAGTAACTTCTATGCATTTAGATGACTTGGCACTACAATGGCACAAGGTTTATATGAGGAGTAGATCACAGTTGCAACTCTCTTACCCTAGTTGGGAGGAGTATATTTGGGCACTGTCATACAGGTTTAGTGTGGAATTGGATTACCCTATAAGTGAGTTGTTTAAGTTGAAACAGATAGGGGGGATGGTTGAATTCCAGGAATCTTTTGATAAATCTATGACAACGCTCAATTTGGAGCCTAGTTATGCCATAAGAATCTTTTTAGAAAGACTGAAACCACAGTTAAGGGATGTTTTTAGGATCCTCAAACCTTAGTCTCTTCCCCAGGCATACCACCTTGCTAGACTACAAGAGTTCATTTTTATTAAATAATCCAAAGCCTTGAAACAATCTATCTTGCAAACCAGCCCAAGAGTCAGTTCTTGAACACAAGCTCCTTACTACAATAAACCAACAACCACCCTTGCTAACCATCTGCTCAGACCTCCTCAACCCACAGGGAATGATAAGGTCAAAAGGAGGAGGCTGGCTCCAGCTGAGCTTAGTGAGAAAAGATCCAAGGGCCTTTGTTTCCTGTGTGATGAGAAGTTTGAACCATGTCACATTTGCAAAACCAAGGCTCAATTATATTTACTAGAGCTAGTTGAGGAAGAAATTGCACCAGAAGAACCAGATGAGGAGCTATTCAATGTAGATAAAATAGCAGAAATATGTGAGATTTCTATCCATACTCTGCTTGGTACCAGAGGTCATAAAACCTTGAGGTTCATGGGATATTCTCACGGGAAGCCGCTGAACATTTTAATTGATACTGTTTCTACATAGAACTTTATGGATAGTAGATTGGTGGCAAGAATGGGATGGAGAGTAGATCCCTCCAATATACTAGATGCAAACCTGGCAGATGGTAATAAGGTGACTATCACTGGTGTGTGTAAGGGTTTGGAATGTCTGTTGCAGAACACTATCTTCAGAGCTGACTTCTTACTACTACCCTTAGGAACATGTGATATGGTATTAGGGTTACAATGGCTCAATGACTTAGGGGATATTATGTTCAACTTTAAGAAGTTGACAATGAAATTTGAGTACGAAAGGAAGCTCTTTTCATTCAAGGGTGTAGCCCCCAAATTAAAGTTGGTAGACTCCTCTTCCTTACAGAAGGTGTCTGGTGAGGAGGTACAGGTTTTTATGGTTAAGGTAACTTCCAATGAAGTACAGGAAGTAAGGCTGAAGAATTAGGAATCAACTGAGATTCAACAAGTCTTGTAGGAGCATGGAGAGATGTTTCAAGAGCCTAAGGAACTACCTTCATTCAGAGGACAATTTTATCATCGTGTCCCACTGAAAGAGGGGGAAAATCCAGTTAACAACAGATCCTATAGGTACTCTCTAGTTCAGAAATATGTCATCGAAAAAATGGTACAGGAACTACAATCTCAAGGACCAATTCAACACAGTTGCAGTCCCTTTACTTCTCCAGTGGTTTTGGTGGGCAAGAAAGATGGAAATTGGAGATTGTGTGCTGATTACATGGCCTTGAATCAGATCACAATCAAAGACAAATACCCTATAACTATCATTGAAGAGTTGTTGGATAAGTTGGGAGGGTCACAAGCTTACTCCAAGATAGACCTCAGGTCTGAGTATCATCAAATAAGGATGGCACCTGTTGATGTTCTTAAAACTGCCTTTAGGATATACTCAGGTCACTATGAGTACCTAGTTATGCCTTATGGCCTAACAAATGCACCATCTAGTTTTTAGGGGTTGATGAATCATGTCTTTAAGGAGCACCTGAGAAAGTTTATATTGGTGCTTTTTTTTTTATGATATCCTCATTTTCAGCAAAAGTTTGAAAGAGCATGTTGAACGCCTGAAGGTAACATTCAGACTTTTGTTACAACATCATCTCTTTGCTAGGAGATCAAAGTGCCAATTTAATGTGACTAGCATAGAGTATTTAGGTCATTTTATCTCTGCGAAGGGAGTCTCTACTGACCCTGAAAAGATACAGGAAATTTAACAATGGTCAATACTATGACTATTAAATAATTGAGTGGTTTTCTAGGATTAACATGTTATTACTAAAGATTCATTAAGGGTTATGGACAGATTAGGAAGCCACTAACTGACTTACTGAAGAAGGATGGGTTCAAGTGGGGTGACCATGCCACTGTGACTTTCCATAACTTAAAGAATGCTTTGAACTCTGCACAATACTAATTTTACCGGACTTCAATCTTACATTTGTTGTGGAAACAGACGTATGTGATGTAGGCATTGGGGTTGTCATAATGCAAGAAGGTCATCAAATTGCCTACCTGAGTAAGGGGCTTTCTCCACAACATAAGGCTATGTTTGTTTATAATAAGGAGTTGTTGGCTTTGGTGATGGCAGTTACAAGGTGGGGTCAATATCTAATGGGTAAGCTTTTGATTGTCAAAATTGATCAAAAGGCTCTTAAGTTTCTTTTGGATCAGAAGCTGCATACAGGGGCACAACTCAAATGGATAACAAAATTGAAGCAATTTGATTTTGAAATCCAGTACAAACAGGGCCAGGAGAACAAAGCTCCTGATGCACATTCCAGAATTACAAAAGTAGAGATTGCTTCTCTCACACTTTCAATTGTAAGGACAGACCTCTTGCAAGCTATCAGAGATAGTTAGGATGTTGATCCGGCAGTGAAGGCAATAATTTATAAACTTACGGACTCTACTAAGGAAGAGAAGGGGTACTCATATATCAACCAACAGTTGAGGAATAATGGAAGATTAGTTGTTGGGAAGAATCCTGCATTAAGGAAAGAAATTATTTGACTGTGGCATGACTCTATAATTGGGGGGCACTCTTGGATTGACCACACTTATAGAAGGTTGGCTGCTCTTTTTTATGGAAGGGAATAAAGGGAGATGTGGAAGCTTATGTTAAAAGGTGTGATACTTGTTAGAAGAAAAAGTATGACAAGTCAGCATACCCAGAATTGTTGCAACCTCTAAAAATTCCTTCTCTATCTTGGAGCAGCATTAGTATGGATTTCATTGAAGGTCTGCCTAAGTCAAAATGGAAGGAGGTTATATGGGTGGTAGTAGATAGGCTGACTAAGTATTCCCATTTTATTGCCTTATCACACCCCTATTCTGCCTTAGATATTGCCAAACTATTCATGGATCATATATTCAAGTTGCATGGAATGCCGAAAGATATTATTAGTGAAAGGGATCCAGTCTTCACTAGCAAGCTATGGCACGAACTTTTTGCAATGCAAGAGGTAACCCTAAACACATCTACTACCTATCATCCTCAATCTGATGGCCAGACTGAGGTCATTAACATATGTCTTGAGACATATTTAAGGTGTTATTTATTGTTCTGATTCTCTTAAAGATTGGGTTCAGTACTTAGCTCTTGCAGAATGGTAGTACAACCCCACCTTCCACGCCTCCATCCAAAAAACTCCATTTGAAGCTTTGTATGGACAACACCTACCATTACATTTACCATATATGCAAGGTGACTCAGAGGGAGTAGAGGTGAACAGGAGTTTGACTACCAGGGAATTGAAATTGCAACTGCTGAAGTTTTACTTGACTAGGTCACAACATAGGATGGTAGATAAAGAAAGCAAGAACAGAACTGATAGACAATTCCATGTAAGGAACTGGGTTTACTTGAAGATACAACCCTATAGGCAACTATACCTATCAAGCAGGCATTTCAACAAACTCTCTTCCAAATACTATGGGCCCTATCAAATTCTCGAAAGGATTGGTAATGTTGCTTACAAGCTAGCTTACAAGCTAGCTTTGTCTCACCAATTACCTATACATCCTACCTTTCATGTTTCCCTCCTTAAAATCTACTATGAAGTTCCAACCTCCATAAATCACCCTCCAGTTCTAGACTTGTCCAACCCCTACTGTACATATCCTGCAAAGATCCTAGAGCGTAGGATAGTACAAAAGGGTAACAAAGCAGCTGTTCAGTTTTTAACTCAATGGGAGCATTTACCTGAAGACCAAGCAACACGGGAAGATTCCAATGCATTGAAAGTCAGATCTCTAGCTTACATTCCTTGAGGTCAAGGAATTTTTCGGGGGGGGGGGGGNTATGTTAGGCTTTATTAGTAGTACAGAATAAGTGGTTAAGTTTGTTATAGGGTTAATGAGTTTGACAGTTTGGTCCTTTACTCATTTACACTTAAGTCCATTAGTTTTATCACTTTACTTTCGAGTCCATCTTCCTAGTAAAGAGATATATGTATCAGATTGAGCTCATATGAAATATATCGAATATGAATTCTGTTCTCTTCTCTTCTTAGTTCCTTATTTCCTTTACTTTCTGTTTGTTATTCTCAAATTACAACTGTTCAATCGGGTGTTGATTGGAATTTGGGATCCTCTTCACATAAAAAGTTGAACTACAACTTATTGATAAAGTCTGATATTATTCTATGAAGGATTTAAGTTAGATTTAAGCAGGTTGCTACCAGCTTTTCCAGGTTACCCATTGAGGCTTATTATAGATGTTACCTGTAGTTGGTTTCTAAGTAATTTATGGTGTAAAGATTTTGCACTGTCAGTGTATACATATAAAACATTTATGGATTCGCCATGCTCTTGCATGAGACAATTTTAGCACCAAATATTTGGTTTGGTTATGAACTATATGGACCCCAAAAAATGTCCGGGGGGTGGGGGGTGTTGAAGGAGAGAGAGAGGACGCATTTTGCTGTAAATAATACAACAAAATTGCTAGTTTTAATGAGGTGATCATTGATATATAATCTTTTATGTAAGACAGGTGATGCTTTGAATTCTCTGAAGACCAATTTGGCTGATCCTATTAGTGTACTACAGAGATGGGATCCAACACTTGTTAATCCTTGTACTTGGTTCCATGTGATATGCAACCTTGAAAATAGTGTGACTAGAGTGTAAGCTACACAAAATCCTTTTTTTTTTGGTCTCTTTATGTTATGTTTCATTTGTGAATTTTGGCTGCATGGTTTTACACAGTGACCTTGGAAATGCAAATCTATCAGGTCAACTAGTTCCACAGCTTGGCCAACTCCAGAAATTGCAGTACTTGTAAGTTAAATATTCGTTGGATCAATATGTCTCAAGGATGTTACAGTTTGCTCTTTGACTTGTTCTGTAACTGCTTTTTGGTAACTCAGTTTTCTTTGTAATCGTGTTAATCCATATTCATGACATAAATGTACAATGAGCTTTGTATATATTTGTTTGTGTAGAAGAAAAATTCTAGTGTTTGATTACCCTAGGAAAGTTTTATGTTACTAATTTTGTTATTGTCCTAAATAAGTAAATTTTAGAACAACCCCCAAAGGGTGGCTTAGCAGTCAAAGTGTCGGAGTAACAATACAAGGTTTGAATCCTTGCAGACCAGACACTAGGTGAATTCACTCCATCTTCCTATGAGTTGGTGGCCAAAGTTACCCAATATTTATGCTGGTGGAAGATACCATGTATTTAGTAGATTAGTCGAGGCCCAAGCTAGCTGACTCGAATAATATCTCTATTAGAAAAAGTGCATCTTTGTATATTACTGGTCTGGGGGAGTAATAAGTCTATTGAAAGATAATATAGGAGTTTTGTATCATTAAGTTTTTAATATTCCCAAACGACTGTGAAAAATGTTAATCTTTGTATGTAATTGGTCCTAGGGAAGTGACTGTTAAGTTATATTCCAAAGTTTCAATGATGACAATATTCACTTACCTTGGTTTGCAGGAACCGAAATCATCAAAAGGAAAGAATACTAATGAGAAGTTGTCCAAAGATGTGATTGCTGAATTAATCGACAAGAAGAACGAATCAAATTTTAGCACATCCATTCAGCCTCAATCTAAGGAAATCAGATTATAAATCAAGGAGCTATTGCCAGTAAATATTCAGTATCCATAATTAAGCTCAATCGTAGGCTTGAATGTCTCCTCAATGTAAGCCTGTGACAAGGAAAGTCACGATCAAATCTGATCCCTCCCAAGAGCAGGATTCGAAGAGGCACCCGTTGGGTCAAATCCCTTTGAAGATCTCGTGCCTCTATTTTTGGTCAAGGCTCAACGGCTCTCTTCTCTCCTATAAGAAGTCTGCTAAGATCAAATGGAAGATTTGAGCAACTACACACAGTGTTTTCTAAATATCTCTACCTCTTAGCCTAAGCACTGTAATCCTTAGTTTATCGGTGTCTCAAAAGATAGGAAGAATTAGAACACAAAAGAGAGTTGTGTCATTATTCAAAATTCATTATTGTTATACTTCGTTGGTGGTGAACGAATCAAAACCATCTGTATTGTAATACCTTCAAGATCTAAAGGGAACCCTTGTGACCCAAGGAAAACTGGATGTAAGTACCACACCGGTACCGAACCAGTATAAAATTATTGTGTTATTCTCTCTACATTTACTGTTATCTTACATTCTGCTCTTAATCTAGCAACTAAAATCATCGTTAGTCGACTATTTTTTAACTAGACCACAATTCACCCCCCCCCCTCCCCTCTTATACCTTCAATTGGTATCAGAACAAGGCTCACAATCTCTGCTTAACAACTGGTGAGAAAAAGATCATAGGATCTAACACTGTTGTTGGTGCACTATTTCAAGAAGGGACCTCTCAGTTTCGACCTCCTTATTTCAACGGACAACACTTTTCTCATTGGAAAGTGCATATGGAAACATACACGATGTCATATGAAATTAAAGTTTGGCGTGTGATCAAAAAGGGAAATCTTCCAATCCCACCAAAGAAGGATGCAAATGGTCAAGTCATCGTATCAATCGATCCTCTTGACTTAGATGACTACACTGATGAACAAGTTGCTGTCATAAATGTAAATGCCAAAGCAAACAATCTACTGTACAATGCTATCAGTGGAGAAGAGTATGAAAAGATATCAAGTTGTGAAAAAGCCAAAGAAATGTGGGACAAACTGGAGGTCACGTACGAAGGAACCAACAAAGTAAAAGAAACAAGGATCAATATTTTGGTTCGAGACTACGAGCTATTTTAAATGAAGGATGGAGAATCAGTGAAAGAGATATTCTCCAGGTTCAGCAAAATTCTTGGAGATCTGAAGTCCTTTGGCAGACCTATCAAAAGTGGTGAACAGGTTAGAAAAATTCTGAGGAGTTTACCTACCATTTGGCAGCCAAAAGTCATCACTTTGGAATGTCAGGATCTTGACAAAATTTCCTATGATGAACTCAGACATGATCTAATTGCTTTTGAGAAAACTCACTTGGATAGACAAATTCAAGAAAAGAAGAAAATTGTTGCCTTTAAGGCAACTGTGGCTGAACTAGAAAAAGAAGAAGAAGAAGAAGAATAAGAAGAAGGAGGAGGAGGAGGAGGAGGAGGAGGAGGAGAAGAAGAAGAAGAAGAAGAAGAAGAAGAAGAAGAAGAAGAAGAAGAAGAAGAAGAAGGAGAAGGAGAAGGAGAAGGAGAAGGAGAAGAAGAAGAAGAAGAAGAAGAAGAAGAAGAAGAAGAAGAAGAAGAAGAAGAAGAAGAAGAAGAAGAAGAAGAAGAAGAGGAGGAAGAAGAAGAAGAGGAGGAAAGAGAAGAGGAAGAAGAAGAGGAGGAGGAGGAAGAAGAAGAAGAAGAAGAAGAAGAAGAATAAGAAGAAGAAGAAACATGCAAAAGAATAAATCCTTCGGAGAATGAAGTGATAAAGAAGAGTCTAATTATGAGGAAGTTCCTAATATATGTTTCATGGCTATAAATGAAAATGAAGATTTAGGGGAGCTTGGACTAATGGCATATGGAGATGATGAGGAAGACAACTCAAGAGAACTTGGCCTTATGGCAGACGAAAGAACTAGTGAGGTACATCTTCCCACATGCTCTAATTGTTATGAACTTCAAGAATTTGTTGATATTGCTCTTGCAGATATCGAAAAAGTTGTGAATGAACTTAGAAAGATCAAGAGAGAAAAGAAAGACTGGCCCTAAAACTGGAAGTATGTGAAATTAAGCGCGATATGCTACAGGATGAAGTTAATGAGCTTCAACTTCAATTGAATGGATTGCAAAAATCCACCAGTCACAGCTCAGTCAAATCAAATCAGACTACTCATCACAAACAGAAATTTCTTGCATGTTCCTTTTGTCGTAAAAATGGCCATAGTACTAACCAATGCAGGAACATAATTAGAACAAAAAAAGGTTCTGGAAACTCTAATAGTCCACCATGTTTTTATTGTGGTAAAAGGGGACATACCTCTAATCGTTGCAGGTTCAAGGATAACAGGAAATGGGTCTGGAGACCTAAATCTTCAAATCAAGCTAACACTCAGCATTCTATCCATTCAGGACCCAAGCAGGCTTGGGTACCTAAAAACAAGTAACTTTGTTTTGCAGGAACACTGCAAGAAGAATCGAAAAGGAAAATGGTATCTCGACAGCGCGTGTTCTAGATATATGACTGGTGACAAATAATTGTTCAAATCATTCACCAAACTAGATAGAGGAACAGATACATTTAGAGACAAATCCAAAGGAAATGTAATTGGTGTTGGAAAAGTTCCTCCGAGCTCAACATGTGATATAGATGAAGTCTACTTGGTTGATGAACTCGGCTATAATCTTCTCAGCATTAGTCAACTATGTGACAACGACTATGAAGTTCGTTTTAAGAAACATTGATGGTTTATAGAATATGAATCAGGTAAAATCATTCTTTCTGGCAATAGAGACAGAAATGTCTATACTATCAGCAATTTAGATAATCTTGGAGATCAAATTTGTCTTACTTCCATGATTGATGATCCCTGGGTCTGGCATAGAAAACTTGGTCATGCCAGTATGCATACTATTCAAAAGCTTTCTAAATATGATCTTGTAATCGGTCTTCCAAAACTAGATTTTTCAAAGGATCATATCTGTGATGCATGTCAACTGGAAAAACAAACTCGCTCTTCTTTCAAAATTAAAAACATTATTTCTACCTCCAAACCTCTTCAATTATTGCATATGGATTTATTTATTCCAACTAGAACTGCTAGCATAGGTGGTAGGAAATATCCTTTTGTCATTGTAGATGATTTCTCTAGATTTACCTGGGTTATGTTTCTAAGTCATAAAGATGATGCTCTAAAGATTTTTGAAGTTTTCTGTAAGAAGGTTCAACGAGAAAAAGGATACTACATATCTACTATCAGGAGTAATCATAGAGGAGAATTTGAAATTAGAGCTTTTGAAAAATTTTGCAACGATCAAGGAATTTCTCACAACTTCTCTTCACTAAGATCACCGCAGCAAAATGGAGTAGTAAAGCGTAACAATAGAACTTTACAAGACATGGCAAGAACCATGATTGTGAAAAATTCCTTACCTCATCACTTCTGGGCAGAAGCTGTGAGTAAAGCATGCCACATCATCAACAGGTGTCTGATTCGACCAATCCTCAAAAAGACTCCTTATGAACTATGGAACGGTAAGAAACCCAATATCAGCTACTTTCACCCTTTTGGATGCAAATGCTTTATCCAAAATAATGGAAAGGACAATTTGGGTAAGTTTGATCCTAAGAGTGATGAAGGTATCTTTCTTGGATACTCTCATTCAAGTAGACCATATAGAGTTTACAATAAAAGAACTTTATGCATTGAAGAATTAATTCATGTTGTTTTTATTGATACTAACCCTCGCCCAAGGAATGAAAAAATTCCTGAAGATGAGGAAATCTCTTTTGTACCTAAGTCTTTTATTGTATGAAATGATCATCAAAGTGAGTCAGTTATTCAACAGACTCAACCAGCTAAAGAGCCCGCAGAAAATCTCGAACTGTCTCCAGCAGATCAGTCAACTAATGTAGAAAGAGAACCTTACTCAAACACTCCAAAGGAATGGAAAAGTAAACCTGGCTATCCTCACAAATTCATTATTGGATATCCACAGGAAGGAATCACAACTAGAAGGTCACAGAAGAACAAATCTCATGTGGCTCTTATTTCATAACTTGAGCAAAAGAAAGTGGATGAAGCACTCATAGATACTCACTGGATAAGTGCTATGAAAGAGGAACTAGCTCAATTTGAAAGAAATAAAGTATGGAAATTGGTTCCAAGACCTTCAAACTCATCCATCATTGGAACTAAGTGGGTATTCAGAAACAAATTGAATGAATCAGGTCAAGTAGTTCGAAATAAAGCAAGATTGGTTGCTCAAGGATACTCTCAGCAAGAAGGAA